TTGATAAAAAAATAGTATAGCATAGAAAATTGCTGCACAATCCATTTTGTAATTTAATGTTATTGAAAATGACCTTTCTATTTCGGTCAGAGCCGCTGTCATTTTCTAAAATTGTTTTAAAAAATTCAATGCAATATGGTAACCTGAATTGCTGTTGGTGTATGAAATGCCCCCAAAAAATGTTGTTTCCTGCTTCTGTAATTGGCTCACTGATTTTCTCAGATGTCTGCACGCAAGTATCTTTTTAGGGATACCCTGCCAAAGAAATTTCATTAACTACTTCTAAACGTATGCAGATACTTAAGCTTTCCTCATTAGAATACTGAAAGTGTACCAAGTGGTTACAATAAACCAGAGGTATGAAAAAAAATTAAACGATAAAGATAATATACAGCAAATGTTAAAATGTAAAAGAATAAGCAAAAGACCATATACTTTGCAGAAACTAGGCAACAAAAAATGGAGCAACATTTTCTGATTTTGCAGTGAGTAAATGTTTGACTTTATAGCGGAACTAAAGTCTGTAAATAAAAAAAATGCTAGAGGGTTTTTGGCAAAAGACACATCCAAATGTGTTAATTATGTGCACAGCTGTGGCCCCAGCACAGTGTAGTGTACAATCCTGGCTCATTCCAGCTCATGTAAGGTGCAAAAAATGGAGCCAGGTTTCAGGACAATGCAACTTCTGTGCACAAGTGCAGGAGTACATCATCATTGGCAACTGGCTACCCTATGGCTGGAAAGGAGTGATGCCGGTCACAGTAAGAGTCACAAGTAGGTAAGGATGCCATGGTGTCTAAGTATTCTATGGCAAGAGCCACTCTCTCCCTAAACCCCCTCCACCGACTGCGGAGCTGATTCCAAAAACGTCTTTTTGCATAATTGCATAATTGCACGTTAATACTACATTACCAATGAAGAAGTGTGCCCCATCTCTGCCCACTGCAGCGTTCGTTAAATCTCTTGGTTTCAGTCAGTCTGCACTGTCCTGTTGGCACTGAACATTCGGTGCTAAGATTTCAATTTCCAGCTGCAGAACGCTGATCACAGTGAATTGCTTACTGTACCTTATCCTTTATTAAGAGAAAGCCTTGCATTATTTTCAGTAAATGCAAGGCATTCTGTGATTGGAGGAGGATGACATCTGCACCTCCTCCAATCAGAGAACTTGGAGGAGGTTTACTGCAGGTAAATACTTTGTATCAGAGTTGGGCCAAGTGGGTTCATTGTTGGGCCAAGGGGGTATTAGTGTTGGGCCAAGGGGGTTCAGTGTTTTAGGGGTTAAGTGGTGGAAAGTTTAGCATTAAGGGTTCAATTTAAGGTTACGTGTTAAAGAAGATTAAGTGCTATGGGACACTTTAAAAGCTAAGTGTGTATGTTTCAGGTTTCAGTGTTTAACTGTTAGTGTATCACTAGTAGGGATGCACTGATACCAAATTTTTGGTATCGCTTACGAGTATCAATATTTATACTTCGGTACTCGCCAATACCAAGAACCGATACTGGTACTTCTACTAGCATGGAGCCTGCTTCCCGGGTAATAACACTTCCCGGCCAATCAGCATCTAGCTGGCCAAACAGTAGGAGGCCGGGCACCGGGTAAGGACTCGCCGCCCTGCTTCCTGATAGGTCGGGGAGCCGGCTCCATGTTCCCTTGTGTCATTCCCGGTCAGAGGATCTCCTTCTGACCAGAATCTCCTTCTGACCAGAAGTTCCGGTATCGGGGGTAAGTATTGGAACATTTGGGCGAGTATGAGTACTCGCTTAAATACTTAGGGGTCTATTCACTAAGCTGCCGAGGGCAGCCGAGTGAAAGACCGATCTGAAGTGAAGTGAGCCAAACACTGTTCGGCTATTCACTTCAGGCTGGTACGGCTGATTTCAGCCGTACATCGGCTGATTTCAGCCGTACATCGGCTTGCTTCGCGTGGCTTCGGGTCGGCCGAACATTCTCAGCCGAGCCGATGCATATGCGTTCGGCTCGGCTGAGCCGCTCGGCCATGATCGGGAGCTGTACGGGCTATTGTGAATAGCCCGTACAGCACCCCTTCGGTTCTACTGAACCGAAGGGGTCCTGGGGCTTAAAGCTAGCCGAAGGATCGGCCGAAGCTACGGCCAGATCTATCGGCAGCTTCGTGAATAGACCCCTTAGTATCGGCACTGATACTAGTATCGGGCCATCCCTAATCACTAGGAAAGTTGTTGTTTTTTGGGTAGAGTGGGGAAGGGTTGCTATTTGTATCCCTATTTAAGAGATTTGCTACTCTATTTGTACTGATGACATTGGGGACTAAGAAAGAAAATGCTAAATTTTAGAGCTGTCCTCAGAATAAGGTGAGGGAAATCTTCCAATGGAGACAGAAGTCTAAAGGTGCCCATACACTGCTCGATTCTCGTACGAGAAATCCCGCGATCGTACGAGAATCGAGCAGTGTGAACTAAGACGTGCGACCGTTTCTACTATACGGTCGCGCGTCTTTTGTCGAGCCAACATGCTCGAAAACCCGGCGAGAATCGTACGATTCTCGGCGGGTTTCTAGCCTGCTCGCCCGATAGCTGCGGAACAGGCCGGTGTGCGCACGCGCACACTGCCCGTTCTGCATTGCCGTCATCGGAAGCCCGCCCCTCAGCGGGGCGGGCTTTCGATGATCGCAAGTACGATCTGCCCGTCCAAGGTGGGCAGATCGTACGGGCTTTCAAGAAGCATACGACCATCGCAAGACAAAAGTCTTGCGATGGTCGTAAGGTGTATGGGCACCTTAAGAGGAGGCTTCCATTCACTTCCATTGATTTCCTCTAACTTTCTGTTGCATTTCAGGGACAGGAGTTTTCACCCTTCCCTACTCTATTCAAAACAAAACAAAAAGTAAAAAAAAAGCCCCAGACACAGCCACAGCTTGACAGAATGTCCCTGCTGCCACGCTGCTGCCCACCAGAACAAAACAGTACGACTCCAGCCTGACTCATGCCCACAAACAGAGGGAGTGGTACAGCCAGGGAGGGGGACCTTGCAGAGTGACAGCGGGAGGCTTGGTGCCACCTGGGAAATTTTCTGCATTTCCCCGGGACCCAGCACTAGGACACAGACAGGGCCAGCCAGGCAAACTAGTTCCTCTGTCAGGCAAAGGCAGAGTGATCTCTGCCAGACAGATAAATTAAAGTTCCAGCCAGCATGTGACATCATTTAAAGCTGTGCCTGCTGCTGGAGTCTCCAGTTCAGATGTAAATGCCTCTGTTCTCTGTACTGATGCTCTGCCAGTGCCACCAATAGAAAGGGGGGGGGAGATTAAAGTAGTATTAAACTCTCAAACTTTTCTACAAAAATGAATCCAGATCAAACAAATATACATTACCCAGCAAAGTATTTCTGACGCTGCAAAGGAAAGATAGCACCTTAAAACAGGATATCAGGGCCATTCCTCAGGGGTCCAGCTGATTCTGCAGGGAACTAAAACTTTTAAACATCCATCTGAAATAGCTTAAAAACCTTTTGACTTTAATATCTCTTTAATGAACAATACTAGTGAATCCCCAAACAATACCTGTTTAAGGACTCAATAAACATATACCACGTATGCATATACAGTGGACTTTCAACTGTGATCAGCTGTGGTCATTTTGATTAGCTCAGCATGAAAGGGGCTGGAAGCCCCTTTCATGCTGAGCTAATCAAAATGACCACAGCTGATCACAGTTGAAAGTAATATGGCTTTGTGTGCCATTTGAGAAGGCGATTAGCTACACCTGATTGAGTTTACAAGTAATTTTTAGGAGGGGGTGATGCTTTTTCCAAGTCTGTCAATCTGTTTTTTAATTTTCTTCTGACATGTTGGTGTTATATATCTTTCACTTGGATGTTATAGGTTGCTAAGTTGCACTGACTAAATACAGCTGGATAAAACAAAAACTGTGTCTGTCTGTCTTCCAGTGGCGGACCTAAGGAACAAAGGGCCCTGGTGCAAGATTTTTTTTTGGGCCCCCCTCCCCCCAAAAAAACACAAACACAGCGCTCTCCTCCCGCAGCGCTCGGCCGGCTGTCACTTTCTCTCCTCCCCGCTGGGACACATTTAGCATTTAGCCAAAAGTGCCATTTCCGGCCGATATCTTTTGGCGGCTGATATATCGGTGCAACCCTAAGATTTACAGCAATGCAGAATGGCACTGCCAATTTTTAAAGGGGGGGGGGGGGATTCTTTTCTATACCCACTGTAAATGTAGCCACTGTAGTGCTCAGCATGTGGGCTTAACATGTGAGCTGCAGCGCTATTGGTAACCAGGCAGGCTAATTTGAAGGAATATGGCTCTTTGGCTACCCAATAGCTATGTTGCGGATGTCCCAGACCCACTTATTTGGCAATAAATGTCCTAGGCACACAGCGAGTAGTTCTTGTCCTCTGGATATTCAGAATGATGGGTGCCAGTCACTTTTCTTTAAATATTAACGGGTTTTATTGCACCAGTGCATGGAGAAATAAGAAGGCGGACTGTAGGGAGATAAGGATACTTTTAGATTCTACTTGAATCACAGTTCTTGGTCTCCTGCTTGTCTTCCTAACTTTCTGGGTCTCTCACAGAGCTATTCTAGTGGTCTCATACAATTCAAATGGCTCATTCACAACTGGGGTTCTTTTTTTTTCTATCATTTAGAGAAGGTGTATCTCATCAGCGGAGACACATTCAGCAATAAACAGTGGTTCTAATCATTCCACACCACACCACCTAAAACTAAAAAAATGGTATGGCTATACACACGTTTTAAATACAAGGACAATTATGGAAAATGAATTCTCCCTGCCACCCACTATACATTTCTGAAGTTGTATAACATGTGTTAGATAGTTTATACATTTAGCACTGTGCTAAAATAACATGCTGTAGCCTTTCTGCAATGAACGTTTTGTTAAATGAAAACTGTAAGTGTTACAATACACAGTCATGTATGCTTTTTTTCTGCATTATCACCTTGATCCTATTTCTGCTACTTGAAGCAAAAGTCTTACCTGGATCGTCAGAATAAAAGTGGCTAACTTTCTGATAAGCTGATGAAGTAGAATAGGATGTCTCTACTTTACGCATCCAAAATCCTACACAGCCAAGTAAATGTTCTAGTTTGACCTAGAAACATATTATGCAGATATTGTCCAAATTAAACAACTGTTGGCAAAGTTTGAAAGTCATAAGCTACTTCCTTTTGGGTTGCCTAATTTAAACCCATGTGATTCCAACATCCTTTTAGGGGAGCCAGTGCAAGTTATGTTTTTTAAAGTGGACCTGAACTCAAAAACTGAGGATCTGCTATGGGGCGCTGTAAAGCTTTCTCGCACAGGGCGCCTAAAGGCCTAAGGCCGGCCCTGTGTCTAAGCAGTACCCTGAAAATTAGCCACAAAGTCTTCCTAAAAGTAGCAGTGCACTTTCTGTGTTCAGGCACTCCTTTTCCTTGAGCCTCATGGCGGTGTATCTGCAACATGCAATTATCTAAGGCACTGCCGCCTTCGAATGCTAATCTCACATGATTTGTGTGTGAGAGATTATGTGTGTGAGAGTTGGAGATGTGACTAGTGTAGTGCCCCCTAACCTCCATGAGCATTTGGTGAGCCCCAGAGGCAGGAAGGGCTGACATTTCACATTGCTCCTTGATGTTTAAAAGTCATATTTTCCCCCAGAATCAGCGCCCCTGAGCATAATACCCGATATCATGTTTTAGGGTGGCTCCTTTCCCTTGCTGGGTCCTGTGGAGCCCCCCTTGTGTGTGCCAATAAGAAATACTTTATCGGTCAATGTATATTTGTTTGATCTGGATTCATTCTTGCAAAACAGTTTTAGCGTTTAATACTATTTTATAGCAACTCTGTCACTAAAGTCAATTCTTGAATACAAGTCTTACTTGTAAAGAAGAAAGTAAATACTTACCTTTCCCATGACCTGTAAGTTCAAACACTGGACTAATCAAGAGAACTGGGTATGTCAATATTCTTGCTCCTGGCTGCATTTAGTGGTTACTCCCGCTGATTCCCAAATTACTGCAGGACACATTAAAGATGTCAAGCCGGCCTTAATGTGCTTAGTCTGGGCACAGGTGCACTATTAGTTGTGTAAATTTGGGATCATTCATTTGGCTAATGGCAGCCAAATACTGCATTCTCTATTTGAGTGCACTCACTGGCCTGTAGGACTGTGCAGGAATAAGGAAAGGGCGTGAACGTTTTGTCACTTTTAGGATCTTTTGCTGGACAGGACGTTCAAGGAAACTGAGCTGAGAGTTGGAGCCAACTGTTTAGAAACATGTTGACTGTAAGTGCTGGGCAATGTATATTTGTTTCATCTGGATTCAGTATTGAAAAAAAATTTGAGGGGGTTATTCACAAAGGAGCCGAATGTTTAAGCCAAAGTATCGGCTAATCCTTCGGCTCACTTCAGCTGCCAGAGCCCTTCGGTTCAGTCGAACCGAAGGGCTGGTGTACGGGCTATTCACAATAGTCCGTACAGCAGCCAAAGGCAGGTGAACAGCTTAGCCGAGCGCATATGCTTCAGCTCGGCTGAGCCGAAGTCACAGCCGAAGCAGAGAGAATGGTCAGACAAAAGAGAAGCAAAGGCTAAATCTCTGTAAAAATGTTAACCAGTTACAGGAATATTAAAATAAATGTTTAAACCATATGAATAAAAGATCACCACGTCATTATCCCTAGCACTGATGTACAGTATTTTTTTACTACCCAGTTTTCTGGGTAGAGAAATTTTCGTAATTCTAACCCTCTTGTCCATGTAATTGACTCACTGTTTCTCCCACACATTTTACTAAAGCTTGAAGGTAAATAACAGACAAATTCTACATAGGCGTTTCATCTTTGGTGAGATGTTTTTAAAGATCCTGCATGTGTAAAGGACTGCTAGACTTTTATTTTGTTTACAACACTGAGACTGATCTAATGTTAAGGGTGATTTTTTTTTTAGCTATGCCTGGAGTTTGATTTAGGAAAATGTTCACTTTAATTAAAAAAAAAAGTAAACTTGCTATCCCAATATATAAGATATTTGAAAGTGTCTCAGCAAAGATGAAACTCCACAGCTAAAAATCCTATTTAGTTATTGGTTCGGAGGGGAAAAGTGGCTCTCATCTTCTCCTCCATCATTACACGCATTGCTTTCAATATTATTATCACTAAAGTGGAGTGAAAGATTAGAAGTGATTTTAGATATAGAATGTTGTACACAGACATTTTTCGCCTGTTGGCATCCTTTCCTTCTCCACCAGTTTGAAGATTCAGATCTACATACTTTAGTTACCCTTTCCAGCATTCCACTTGGTATTTGGAATCTGGGCTGAACGGGCCATTTGGGAGATTTACCGTTTTAATACCAAGTTCAGGAGAGTATACCTTGGAGGTATGCGATTCCACTGACCTTCCTTCTTTTTTGTTGGATGATACTGTCATATCTGACTAATAATTCCGTCTATTTTGTGGCCTCTGTTTGTTATGAGGAGTACAACTGGTAGAGAAGGGAAGACTGGATACAAGGGAGGGGATGAGGAGGCGGGCTCAGGCTGAGGCTGCTGCTTTTGTTTTTTGTTTTTCTCTCTTTTGGGTGAGGATAATGTTGTTTGCTATACTAGTTTTTATATTAGTGATGATGCATAAGTTTCTGGTTCCGGGTGGACTCCATAGAAATTGCATCCTTTTTGTTTTACGCCCCATGTTTCAAGAGCTATCCCCATATCCATCGAATATCTATGTGCTCTCCCTTTGGAAAATGAGTCTTGGTGCTTTGAACCATTTTGTTATCATTTCTCTTTTGTGCTAAATGTGTGGTATAAGTCTGTTATGGCAGTGCCCAGCTTCCCTTACCTTTTTTTTGACAATATCTTGCCTATTAGCCTTAAAATTGACCGGCATTTACTAACAGGATTCACTCCTCATGGCCTTCAGTGGAATTTATCACCAAGTTTGTGTCCTCCTAATTTCAAACAGAATTCGCTGAATCCCCAACAAACAAAACCTGGACAGGTTCACTCATCACTTCCATCTGTGACAGCCCAGAAAGTCGAAAGTAGGGTAGTGGTAGCTCTCCTTCTCGTTTCTTGGCTTTCTCTTTTATAATAACTATGCAATGGGATGTTGCCTACCAAATTAAATAATATATGCAAGCTTACAATAGGAGTTGTATAATCAGATTGACGTGTGGACAAACGTTTAGGCCTGTTGATTCACAGAGAAGCAACTGTCACGCATTAGATGATCCATGACCCCTAATGCTCAAGTTGAAGAGCTCAGGCAGACAAAATTAATTTTTAAAAAGTGACAAATATGAATTTTTATAGGTTAGCCTGAACACTTATAATTTAAGACTGACTTTTCAGATTCCTGCATTACCATAACTGTTTCTCTCTAAAGCCAAACGTAAGTGTGGGAAATAAAATGGTGCAAAAAACAACCTAAAGACTGTAAATTTCTTTATTGGAAGGATTCTTAGACAGTCATTAATCTGTTTCTTTCAGTTTTTCACAATTTTGCATCAGTGTCACTTGATAGATGTTAAGGACAGATGCAAGTTTTCTTACATAGATCCAATCTCCCTGGATGATGGTTGTCCATAGATATTAATACAGATGCTTTACATTAAATTGGTGTTCTGTAGTGGATGATAGTTAACGTGTTTGCCTAGGAGTAAAGAGAATTAGAAACACTAAGGATTGTTATTAAGAACCATATTTTTTTTCAATCTTAAAAGAGAACTATGAGGTGAGTGATTTTCACTCAACCTCATAGTTCTAGCCGACCTGTGACAATGAAACTGTCACAGGTCGGCTCAATAGCTCGGGAAGTGAGCGAACACATACCGTCGCTCGCTCATTTCTCTATCATGTCCCTGCAGAGAGCCGTGACTGTCACTCACGGCTCCCTGCAGGGATTCCCCCCTCCACTGTCCGATCCTCCAGCGCTGACTGGCGGAACGGACGGGGAGAGGGCGGGTACAGCTGGCTCTGCCTCTACATAGGTAGAGCCAGCTGTCAATCATGCAGCTGGGTGGATCTTGACAGTAATGTCAGGATCCGTCCCGGCTGCAGCGGTCTCAGTATACCGCGAGCTGTAGCTCGCGATATACTGAGCTTTGGGTCACGTGAGGAGGCTAGTATATGTCCTCCCTATACCCTTAGGAGAACTATGGGGAAAAACACTGACCCCAAAGCTCTCCTTTAAAGCAGAAGCCCAAGCAAAAATATCACAATATAAATGAGTAGCCCATTAAAAGATAAAATAACACAACCAGCAATATATTTAGCTTAAAGAGGAACTTTACTTATATCTTTAAAATAACAGCAAAGACATCTTTAGAAATGTATAGTAATGACAATCCACAAACACATACTTATAGATAATTGCTGACTTTTCATTCTTTTTATTCTTTGCATAACTTATTTTTATTTTCTTCCCCATTCTTCTGACAGTGGTCATTTTAACTAAGGGCATGTTACTAGATCTCCCTTTGCTTCCTGTAAGTCTGGCACATGTGACCAGGACATGTGACCATCCACATCATCTCAGGGGAGGAAAATGCCTTTCCCTGAGATATTGTGAAATTACAGAGGAGATTTCTCAGCAATGCTCGGCTGATGTAACCTTCCCAGGATGCAATGCTTAAGCACATTACATCATTTGTGCCAAAACTGGACCAGGAAGTAGATAAACTCTATCTGTATGTAAATGAAAAACACGTTTGTTTAACTAATGAATGTAAGATGATTTTAAATCAGCATGCAAAGCTGCATGCTCATGTGATTTTTAGTGAAAGGGGGTGAAGGTCCACTTTAAATATAGGATAGTAGTCCCTGTAGTATTTTGTTTTTGCTATTAGATGTCCTCAGTCTGATGGCCAGCATCATTCATCCCACTTCCTCTGAGTCCAGGTGGTCCTGGAGCCACCCCAGCCTGTGACTGGACAGAGAACGGAGAAGGAGCACCGTGATTATCTCTCTGCCTCTCTTTCCTCTAATACTTCAGCCCTGCTGTATAGGAACTGCAAGAGGCTGACACAAGATGAAATT